AGGCAGCGAGTGGATAGACAGGATCGCCTGGGAGTTGACAACTCTTGTTTCCCTTCAGACCTGCAAAGTGGTTTGTCTGTGGACTGAGGTATGGACTGCCCACATCCTGATGCCAGGAGGAGGTGGGGAGGTTGGGGCTTCACACGCTTGGCTCATAAACTTGATTTCTTGGCTTTCTTTGGTTATTTTCTCCCACACTTAATTATAAAACTTGATAGTTGCCGGGCGGTGATGGTGCACGCCACGCCTTTAATCCCAGCACTGGGAGGCAGAGGCAGGCGGATCTCTGTGAGTTCGAGACCAGCCTGGTCTACAGAGCTAGTTCCAAGACAGGCTCCAAAGCCACAGAGAAACCCTGTCTCGAAAAACCAAAAAAAAAAAAAAAAAAAAAAACTTGATGGTTGAGCCCTGTCCATCTTTGTGTTTAGACAGTGAGCATCTGTCCCCGCAGCAGGCCCAGACATGCGGGGCTCCTTTGCTGAGAGTTATAATCCTGCAGGGTCTTGAGCATGCTAGACCAATGCTTTGCAGCTGAGCTGCATTCTCAGCTCTAGGACTGATTTGTGTGTAATCAGCAGTTTGCTGAATTTCCAAAATTTTTTATGTCAAGCACACTGCCATGAAGGATAATCCCACGTATCCTATAGATTGCAGAGTTGGGGCGGGGGGGATCAGGTGGTGTGTAATGGGTATACTAGCAGTACTAAAACATGGAGTCCTTATAACAAGGAGAAAAGTGGGATAGTTGAGGCTAGGATGCAGACACAGGAAGTACAGCCAACCTGCCTTTGGGACCTGGCTGCTTCAGAAGCAGGGAAACCAGAGAGTGTTTATGCGATTGGTGTTTATCTAGGAGGAAGACCAAAGGGCAAGAGCTGTCTAGAGAATCGTTGACTTCGAGGCAGGGGTAGGGGAAGAACACGCCATACCACATCTGGCAGTTGGGGAAAAAGTCAGGCTTGCTGTACAAGCACCTTTACCCACCATTGCCAACCCTGTCCAGATATTTCTGAAAAGGTTGATAAATTTTAGTCTACATGGAAATACTGGCTTACACTGTTAAAAAATGGTTCTTTGTACTTAGGTTGATTTTAGAATAGAATACAGTACTAAGGGACAATACAGTCTCCTTCCCCAGTGGCGATACTAAAAATACAGCTGCTGTCCTAGGCTTTTTCTGCTTTTTTGAGACAAATAATGCTGTGTAGACCAGATGGTGTCGCTCCCCCTGAGCTTTGGGGTTACACACAGCTGCTACTCTGGCATTTTTGATGACAAGGTATTTTGGGTTTGTTTTTAAGCATAGTTGAGAGAATGAGGAGCCGTGTGCTTTTCCCTTGGAGTGGCTGTGGAGTATTGCCTCCACACACTTTGGGGAGAAATGCCAGCAGGCCTGTTCCTGGAGATCTCAGCCATTGGGTGCGTGGTGCAGTGGGAAGAAAACAAGGGAGTTTTTATGTCTCTGACTCTGCTTCTGCTAGGGAGGGCTACAGAGGAGCCTCTCTGACCTCTATAGATGGTCTGACTTTTTTCTGTAACCATGGGCTCATCCTGACTTACTGCAGCCTAGTGCTGAGGTGCTCCAGTGGGTGCCAAAGGAGCCTGAGTCCTAAAGAGTTAAGGGCTCCAAAATCACCCACAAACAGTTTTAGGCTGCCAGCCACTGGAGACCTTGTGGTGCCTGGGGGTACAGAGCTACTTGGAGAGCACTTGTTATGGAAACCATAGAGTGGTTGTCAGAGGGGAATCAGCCCAGCGTGCCTAAGGCACCAGCAGGACTGAACTTGGCTCTTGAAGATTTAAGTGTAAAAGATACATTTGTATCAGTCTTTATAACTGTTGTACTTGATAAAATCAGTAGGAGCCTGAAAGAAGCTAGGAAGCTACAGGCATTCAGCAGCTTAACCATGGAGGAAGTCAAATCTCCCTGTTTCCTGAATATTGCTTTGCTAGCATAACTAAAAGTTTGAAAATGATGGTAACCACCATCAAAAGTGCTGCTTTTTTAGCTGGGCGGTGGTGGCACACACCTTTAATCCCAGCACTTGGGAGGCAGAGACAGGCAGATCTCTGTGAGTTGAGGCCAGCCTGGTCTACAGAAAGACTTCCAGGACAGGCTTCAAAGCTACACAGAGAAACCTTGTCTCCACAAAACAAAACAAAAAAAAAGGTGCTGCTTTCCTGTTTTAGACAGTTTCACTATGCACTATATGGTGCGGGCTGCATTGTCAGATGTGGTTACAGCTGTGAGCCCCCCATCCCTTCCTAGGAATACAGTGGTGTTTGTTTTTTTGCAGGGGCTTTTTTCTTTTCTTAA